AAATATGGTCCACAAAGCTACCTTAAGCAAAAGAAAAACTAATCAAACTTCATTTCTACTTTCATAACATTGTAAGTGGCAAGAATCCAACTGCTTTCACGGTGGCCCAATCCAAAAAATCATGTCTTTGAACTAGCAAGGGTAGTAGCAAATGATCCGTTAACAGCGAGATCAACCCCAACTTGAAGATTGTGGGTCCCAAATAATATATGGTTTGGCTTCATTGGAAGAGTTAGGTTCATTTATGACCTTAAATTTATTTTCGCAATGGAAAAGATTAAGTAATGTTATTTATAATCAATGGTGTTAAGCACCAATCTATGTGACACTTACATAACATTGAAAAACAGATTTATTTAAATGTAAAGTCAAATAACTCATTTAATTGACTATAAAAAATGTAGACACCTAGATTAGTATTCTCTAACAACAACGGTGTTAAATAGCATTATTCAGCATACTTAGAGGATGTTTGGCGGAGATTAAAATTAGATTTTTAGTGGATTGTGATAGAAGTTTTTGAAATGTGTGTTTGAAAAGATATGAGAATCATGAAATATGTGTTTAATATTAATTGTTTAACTTTGATTTAGATTAAAATCAGATTTTAATCCTGCCCAAACATACTCACAGTATACTTGGGGCATAATTTAGTTTTGCACAAGTATCGATAAATTCCTATTCGTTGGCGAATATAGTATTTTTGTATTTACATGCCGTTAAAATTTCATTTTGGGTCTTTTTGATTGTAAGGGTAGAAAATGGGTGGAAAAAAAATGAATTTCAGGGAAAGTAATTGACTAGAAATTGTTTTGCAAGGAATTGGTAATTAAGTGTGTTTGATTGGTATAATTTTTCACTTGGAAATTTTTAAAATTTTGTGTACGTTTGGCTTTATTTTACATGGAAATTGTCCATTAAAATGAGAATTTTTTCCACAATTGATTATAAAATTTGTTTCCATTGCCAAAAAGTTAAAAAAAAATGAAAAAAAATATTTCCTAAAAAATCATTTTTTCATTAAAGTTTAGTATTCGTCTGTCTTTATTTTATATGAAAATTGTCCATTAAAGTGAAAAAAATTTTTACAATTGATTATAAAATTTGTTTCTATTGCCAAAAAAAAAAAAAAATCAATAGCACCTGGAAAATCATTTCCCACCTAAATGGTGGGAAAATGTTTTCACCAATCTAAGGGAAAATGTGCACGTGTTATGGGGGAGGGTGGAAAACATTTGGCATGGAAAAAAATGTTATCAAACACCAAAAACATGGAAACTGGAATCGTCTTTCATGAGGGAAAATGTTTTCACCAATTTAAGAGAAAATGTGCAGGGCGGGTGCGTGTGTGGAAAACATTTGGCATGGAAAAAAAAATGTTATCAAACACCAAAAAACATGAAAAATGGAAAACCAATTTCATTTTCCATGGAAAAATAGCCCTATCAAACACACCCTTACAAACATAATTATATTACTCACCCCCTATTTGGAGTAGTAATTTTTGTTGTTCATATTACTTTCGTTTTTATGGATATGAACATATGGAGAAATAAACTATCAAGTACCATTAATTAGTTTGTTGATATGGAGTTAATTACCCAAATAGTCACGGAACTTTACCGGAAGTTTTCACCAGGTCATCGAACTTTAAAAATTACGTAGTTAGTCACTGAACTTTCGAAACTGTAACCCCATCCATCATTGAACTTTAAAAATCACTCCATTCATCACTGAACTTTGCAAAAGATTTCTACGGGGTCACTGAACTTCGTAAAAAGTTTCCCAGATGGTTACTGATTCAGTAACCATCTAGAAAAAAATTTATAAAGTCAGTAATCAGTGACCATCTAGAAAAAATTTTATAAAGTCAGTAACCATTTGGGAAACTTTTTGCAAAGTTTAGTGACGAATGTTGTAATTGTTAAAATTCAGTGATGGATGGGGTTACAGTTTCGAAAGTTCAGTGACTAACCACGTAGTTTTTAAAGTTCAGTGATCTGGTGAAAACTTTCGATAAAGTTCAGTGACTATTGGAGTAATTAACCCGTTGATATGAGCTATAGTTATCAAAAATTAAACGATCCACATATTAATTGATGTGTCACATAATTGTTGTTTAGCACGATGTTAGTAGATGTCAAAAATTAAACGATCCACACATGATTTTTATGTTTTTTTATCAACATATTCTATGGGGACCTACTATTTTTAAACACTTAGCAAGCTTTTGTGTTCAGTTATTTGTTAATCTGAGGAAAAATTAATGTCATATAATGAATTACTTTTTTGAAGGAATGTGTGGATATTAATTAGGGATAATAATATAATTAGAGGTTTTTTGTTTGAAATAAAAAAATCAAAATATAGGAGAAATCAACAGAACAACACAAGTGCCGCTAGTAAAAATAAAACATTTTGCCATTATATACATAAACACGATTATAAGAAGTCACCTCTTATCTGTGTCTTGAGAACTAATAAGTGAAACTCATTTACATTTTAAGATGGACATGGCATAAACAAAAGTTGATAGATATGCTCATTACTTAATTGACATGAAGTCGTTGGATAACTTATTGGAGATATTGGAGATTTTAACAGAACAACACAAGTACCGTTACTAATAATGAAACGACATTTATGTCGTTCTGTACATAAAAAGAGTAAAAGCAGCCACGACCCGTTCGTGCCCCGATAATCAATTAGTTGAACTCATTTAAGTTGCAAGATAAACATTTGCATGACATTCCTAGGAAATGGATCACCGAGCTTGGGCTCCAAGACAAAAGTCGAAATCCTCAAAACAAACATAGACCATTTTCAGCTAAAGTGGAGATTGTAAATCCCTTCAAAAAGGTTCGGATCATTCTAACTTAGGTTTGCCACGATTACAACTCAATGAAGGTCAACATTGATTCAGTATATTAAAATCAAAACAACAAGATTTAAAAAGCGCAGATTCAATAAAATACGAAAGATTGAAATCAGTTCATACATATCAATTTCAACTAGAGTTTTAGCAACCTTCCTAGGATAGTTCCAAAAGGTAAAGAAAACTACGAAGTAAACCACTTCGGACATCACCCGCAAAGGGTCTGTACGAATCAGATATGTTTCCAACTATAGGGGTATGGTAAAGACCATCCCCCTATGCAAACTTTTTATCTCAATTTTACTTTCAAATCCATGCATTACATGAATAATCATGCCTAGACTTAGGGGACTATTGTTACTCTTGTAAATTACGTCGCACTATCTTGAAGGAAGGGTCCGACATTGCCGACATGGCATTGACTTAAAGGGTCCTCTAAAAAGACATCATGAGCTTCAGTATAAAGGAGCCTTGGATTGAAGGTCATCGTTATAAAGAGCCTCGGTTGAAGAGCCTCATCCACTTATAAAGAGTATCGGCTGAAGGGTCTCAACCACTTATAAAGAGCCTTGGCCGAGAGTCTCAGAGCCTCGGTTTTGGGTTTGGGCAAGACCCATAAACCAAATGGCCCATTTACATTTCCATTTTGTATATATATTTGAATCCATTTCATTTTAAGGTATGTTCTCAAACCCTATCATCTTCCCCTCTTCCTCTCTTGCACTTATATTTTCCTCATCCAGCAGTTGACTTGACCGTCGGAGTGCGAACGGTCGCCGAACCTTTTTCTTAACTGATGGTATTTGCCTCCTAACGGGGTATTCAGTGTGCAGGTGATGTCCATGTGGAGGGAACGTGGCGAGGATTCTGTTGAGCTCATTTTTTGGGGTCAACATTTTTCTAGGGTCTATCTGGATCAGTTGCAGATTTTTTCAACAGATTTCATCGAGGAGGATTTTGTTTGACTTACAAATGTAAGGATTGAAGGAAGGGGATGATTTGGTTGCCTTCTTTAAAATGTTGTTTGTTAAAATTTTGTATCTTTCTTGCTGTGAGATATGTTGTTGTTCATTGCATGCTTGGCTGTTGGGAGGAGTTCAATCAGTTAGCTCATAAAAACAATAAAATAATCAAAGCCAATCAACAAAAACCGAACTGAAAATACTATCTACAGAAACTGAAATCACAAGAACTATGAACTGTAAAGCTGAACACAAAAAATGAACTTATCTTTTTATTATAACCCACAGGCCACAAGTTCATTCAATAGATCGTTCAACCTTGAATGATAACCACTGTTAGTATTCGAATCAGACCCCAAGGTAGATTACAAAGGAGACACTCAGACTAGGGTTATTACAAAAATAGAAACTCTCTCAACGGATAACACATGATTCACACAAGAATCAACCCTCAATCAATGTACTCACACAAGATCTACAAGCTATTGAAGGGAAACAGGAAATCAAATAAGCTGTTATGATTTCTACAGAGAAGAGACGAAAGAATCTCGAAGAACGACGTAGGGCACAAGAATGGAAGAGTCAAGAAGCAAAAGTGTAGTCTCAAACCCTAGAAGTCCATCATCAGGGCAAGTGAAAACACAGTTTCAAGCAAATTCACAAAACACGATTTTCTACCCAGAAACAAAACCAACAGACATTGGGCTGGACTTCAATTCCAGCTGGGCCAACTCAATTTTGGCCCAATAGTCATTGCATCATTGTGCCAACAAATTCCTTTCATTGGCAATATTCGTACGCACGAATATTGTAACAATTGTGTGCGATGATTATGGTTGGACGAAAACTATGTCATTAAATACCAAAATTAATAACTAAATTTATATAAACAATTGATCAAAGGTGGTTGGTTAAACTTCTTTTTTAAGTTCATTGTTTGGTCTAAACATTGCGCCTCATATTGATACTCGAAAGCTATAATTTTCATACATCGGAAGGTCCATCTTTCAAGTACTAACAATCAAAGTTCAAATCTAAATTACATTCTGAAAATAAACAACAAAAATTGGATCAACTATTACAGCAAGCGGTTCCACTGCCTATGTTATAAAGATTGGCTAGGGATGATTGAGAAGGTAACAGGTTTTAGGTCTTTTAGTTGATCAACGGCTGTGAATATGGTGGTGGGGTAGAGTGACGTTGGCTGGAGGTGGTGGCAGAGGAGCGGTGGCATTAAGCAGGTGGGGTGGCGGCGATGGTGGCAATTGAGGTAGGCATTGGTAACACTTGGTGAAAAGTCCAAATGTGTCGATTTGGTGTATGAAATTTGTCATGCTAGCCCAACCACCGAATCCAAAACCAACAATTAGCACCCAAACTACCACAAATATATTGATTATGTAAGTGCCAACCCATCTTCCAAAGTACTTTGATGGCTGCTCCACTGCACTCTGTGTTAAAAAATAATCAAACCAGATTATTAGAAATTTGTTTAACAAATCGTATTATAATTTAATAGAAAAAAAGGCTTTTGATCAACTTAGAGACAATGACAAGTCGACTGTGCCAAATTAACATCTTTAATTTCAGTCAAAGTAGCCTATATTCTGAATCTGAGCATTCAGTATTCTGAGATATGCACTCAGCACTCTGGAATTTCCTACTATGGGTACCCTCTGTGTTTGTTCCAGTTGGAAGAATTAGGAACAAGTTATTTAATTATTGAATTCTGTAATTTGATTTTGATATTTCATTTTCTTTTCTTTTTTTTCCCCAAATTATCGGAATATAAACATTTCACGTACCTCTCGAGCGGCAGGTGATCTGAAGGTGAACATGTAGGCCAAGGCGGGAATAATGTAGACGGTAAAGCTAACAAGAAGCGATCCGACTGTGGAGTTAATGGGACCAAAGAATGGAAAAACAATTGCCAAAAACCATATGGGTATCACCACCGGCAACCTTGCAGCCGCCCGCTTGCATAAACTCTTGCACTTGTGCATTCCGATTGCTTTCTCCCACACAAAATACAATGGTGTGCATGCAAATCCGAACGTTATAAACTGCATCAATTGTAACAAGAGCAACATTAATCGTAAATCATACATATTTATAGTTCTATATCGATGACTAAAGTGCAATATTTTAATTACATGGCTAGCAATCATGTCATCATTGCATTGGTATAGATTTTCATTTTAGGGTTGTTCTCAACAAATTTGAAGTCACCTACGTGAATCTATGGTATTGATTATTTTTCATGACATTTTCTCGTTAAATTTGAAATCGGCTAGAAGAATAATGTAATGCTGTAAAATGGATTGAACTAGTTATGGACGTGACCTTGACGACTTTGACATTGCTACTAAACTCTTATATGATTTAGATTAAAATTAGATTTTTAGTAAAGTTTGATAAAAAATATATTAAAAGTGTGATTGAAAAGTTGATAAAAATTGTGATTTCTGTGAAATATTTGATTGAACTCACATTTGATTGAAAATGAGTTCAATGAAAGAATGAATGGCAATAAAAATAAGTGAATGCATGCCTGATGGATGAGCATCAAAATGACAGCCATGTCCCTGGAAGGGGATCTTGGAAGAAGAGAAAATGCATTGGAGTGATTGAGAAGAGCATCTCCAAATGCCCAGTACACTGCTGCTGCTGATGGAAGAGTCAATGTCAATACATAAAGGGTCGCCAGTAAGTATATGGCTTTGAACTTCTGTGGCTTCCACATCGCATGCATAATCTCACTGTCATCGAATACTTCACGTTAGTCGGGACTAGATAAAATTGAACCGTACTAAAGAATACAAAGTAATAAGATTTTAACTTCTTTTCTTTAAGAATGGGACGAACAAGGCGGAACCCACTTCTCAATTGTCTCATAAGGCAAAACTTCAAAAGTGAATGGTGAAAGAATCCAGTCTAATTTCTATACTTCAAAAAGCACAAAAAAGGGTTCCCAAGAAAGTGAACTTTCCTTCCCCTAGCACGCCTAGGAAGGGCATTATTGGGAGAATAAATATATTCGAGACAAAAATAAGATTGGTCAGCAAAGCACATGGTCAGATCATGTCCAGATTATCTAGGTTAAGTCACTTTCAAAATGACTATTTTGCCTTTAGTGAAAAAAAAAAAAAAAAAANAAAAAAAAAAAAAAAAACCCAAAACTTGAAAGTCGAGAGAGAGGTGTGAAAAAGTGTGAAATATAACGTAAAAGACACGAATATGATAATTGAGGATGTCTTACACAGTAACGGCATGTCCCCCGAATGTGTATAGAATGTTTGTGGCTCCTGTGAAGTACAACACCAATTTGGTTGGACCCGAGTGCTTCACACCCTCTACCTGTTTAATAAGAAAAAATTCATATACAATTAATTAATAAAAAATGTGATGAATGGTAAGTAATTACATATTTTACTTGGAATCTTCCCAGATGAGCTTCAATAGATCACAAGACAAAGAAATCTAAGCACTAGCAAAGATAACAGAGACGTGTCTAAAAAACTTGGAAAAACTTAAATATTAGAGAAATAGCATGTTTATCGATTTTAAATTGGTTTTCGAAACACATCCAGTCATGTATATCAGGACTATGATTTGCTCTAACACTATACGGATTCATCTCATATAAAAGTTTCACGTGTTAGAAAAGGGACAAGCTTGTTTATTTATATTATATTTTCAAATGACATCGTGAACTCTTCTCGAGTACGAGTACAAGCTAACTTCATGTTAAACTCAAATTTTGATACTTCTAGAATTTTCATAAATGAGTGACCTTTGTCTCCTCCAATGCACCTTATTTAGCAGATATTTGGTTTTGCTAAAATCATATTTTTAATATATTTTGATTAAAATTGATGAATTATATGATTGAAAAGTTGATAAAAATTGCAGATCTCATGAAATATGTGATTCAATTAATTGTTTAACTTTGGCTTAAATTTTTATTCATTTTTTAGCTAAACCAAACGGGAGCTGGTAAATATATGCGAGATTTTCTTGAATATACTCTCACAATGTTAATGTACATATTGTAAATTTTACTAATGAAAATATGTAATCAATCATGAGTACCTGGCCATGGACAAGGGAAGCAATGGTGAGGTACCAAGCAGTATAGGTGGTCATTAACAAGCCAAGAAATGACCAGATTCGATAGTTGTGGAAAGAAGGTATGAACACTGTGGTGGCACAACAAGCTCCGAATATGTAAGTCCATGTTCTTTTGTCCAGATTATCATTTATGTAATATATATTACTGCAACCCAATAAATTTTGCAGAAAATAGTCAGTAACTAATTCATTTTTTATGTTAATAAAACCAGTATAAGACTGTATATATATATAGCTAGAAGATACCTTGCACAAGCTATGAGTTGAATCACAGATCCAAACATAAGAAATGTGCAGTTAAATGCCAAGCCCACGTTCCTCCAATGTTTACCAAGAAGCCCATCAAGAACTTCAAACCACTGTAATTAATAATTTATTGAAAAAAATGCAGAAAAAAACATGGACACCCATGTGAGAAAATGGATATTTCACGTATATATTATTTGTATTAATTGAGAGAAAAACAATAAGTTAACCTGAATAACATGATTCCTGAAATCAACTTTTTCTCTTTCTTTTCTGGTTCTGTACTCTACGTAGAGAATGCTAATGAGATAAGCTGTCCAACTGCCCATTAAACCATAGAATAGCTGAAAGAGAATCCCAGAACGCATTCCCAGTTGAGAAAATGAATATGGCAAGGTAAGTAGAACTTGGGCCACCTGAACCACAGGGAAAAATAAATACCGTAAAGTTGTTGGAGATACGAATCAGTGGGTTCACCGGTACGAACGTTTCTTAGTTCGTGCTGTGATATCAGCAATTTGGATATAGAAAAAAAACTGACCTGATTTGAAGCACAGCTAAACCAAGCATCATAAACTGAGCCACCATGCCAAAAGAACTTGGATACTTTTGACTTGATATCTCTAGGTTTACCTTCGGTCTCCATTTCGACATAGTTTCCTACGATCACTGTCTCCACAACCTTGTCTGAGGATTCCATTTTCCTCTCTCTCTCTCTCTCTCTCTCTCTCTATAAATATATATATTTATTGTCTCTCTATGTTGTAGTGTATTCTGATCAGTATCAGTGGAATGAGGTTTTCTTGTCAATGTGGAAGTATATGTACAAATGGCAAAATCCTCTATACATATAGAAGTGATATGACATTGGTTGAGGTTAGGGGGGAGTGGGGTGGGGTTTCTTGAAGGGTGTGAAAGCCTGGGGTTGAAAGGTATAGAAGAGGAGAGATTCACAATTCAACACTGTGAACTTTGACGGAATCAGCCTGTTTTACTTGCCTAAATTTTGTTCCCTTATTAACTAAATTAATTAAACACATACATGTAAATAATCTTGTTTTTTATTGAAATAACTATAGAAGCGTGAGAGGGATGTCCGCTCGAGTGAGATTTCGCTACTTCCAATACAAGTAGATTAGCAATAATTTTCTTGCTCTCATTTTTTCATATTTTTATCTAGTAAAACATGGCATGGATTCGTAGCACTCATTGAACATTATATCAATACATTGTACAAAAAATTCTCATCATTTTTTTTATTTTCATTTTTTGGAGTCAGGTGTCCCTAATGCAGAATACAACTATCTGTTGAACTACGCTCTCCAAGTATGCTTTACTCCCCCCTACTTCTATCCACCCTTCACCATCCCCATGGAAATGGTTTGTAGGATTTTAACTGCTCCTCTGAATACAAGATATTTACCTAAGCGAAGTGATGCAAAAAGAACTTTAATCGATTGTTGAGAAAATCCTATGAAAAGAGAAATAACTCAAACTTCTTCAGAAATCGCTAGTGAATCCTATTTTTGATAGGGATGGTTAATAGTACTAAGTCCTCTTAAGGACTTTCTTAAAGATGAACCTTATGTAAATATCATGGAATAATATGTATATATACAATTGCGTGTGGTGACTTAGATTAACTTCAATTCACCTACCAAAAATTATCGCGAGAAGTGATTGTGGAAGCGTGCAAAGTGTTTATCTATTCTTTTTCTTGTATTTAATAGTTGAACCAGCTGCTTTTAGCTAAGAAGTGTTGGATTTTTTTTATTTTTTATTTTCCAAAAGGCAACTTTTGCTTGTATAGTGATTAAAATAAGTTGAAGAAAAGAAGCCTAATAGAAACTTCTACCATGCATGGATAGTCTTGCTTGGAGGAACAATGCATTACAATTTAATTTGATGATTAAGTGAAGGACTTGGAACAAATTTGAGGTGGTTTATATTAAAAATAAATAAAAAAATCCAATGTATTTAGTTTGTCGTTAACTTAGATTTAGACTCGAAATAAGAGTTACTTCACGAGTTACGATTTAGAGAGAAGGGTGTGTGTTTGGAGAGGAGATAATTAAATGATTAATAAATAATAAAATAAGAAAAGAATGAATGAGTGAATGGTGGGGAATTATGAGAAAGTAGACAAAATGATTGCAGCCAAACGGGCGTGGTCGCTTTATATGAAGAAAAAAGTTGCTTTTAGCACATGAGGTAATTAGGAGCAAAGCCCAAATATCTAAAAGTCTCTTAAGTCACATGAACTTATTTATAGGAAATATTTATTAAAATTGCCTTTCGAAACATCATTTCCATTCTTTATTTATTAAATTCTCTCACTCCAAACGATTAAAATATATATATATATATATATATACAGAAATGATCTAATGAGCACCGGTGTTCATCTTATCCTAAACACCAATGAGTTGGCACATTAATTCATTGGTGGATTGGAACTCACAAAATCTTTATCCACCAATGAATTAATGTGACAAAATATATATATATTTGCAATACAATCTGTAACTCTTATTTGATTTTCCTTTTTAATTGGATTTCTAGTAATTTTATTTTAGTCGAACTCCGATAAGAGCGAAATATTTATCAATAATAAAAAAAATAAAGTAGAAAGTCCAACCAATACTTCAAAAACCATACACTCGCCAATCGCCCGAGGGAAGATATTTGTTAGCTCATCGTCTCTTAAATATCACGCTCCTATTTATAAGTTAGGAGGTGTTTGAGCTCCATTATTTTTTAAAGAATGTATTTTGGAATAGTGGATTGATTGAGAATGTGCGGTTAAAAAAAAAAAAGAAAAGTTTTTGATTTGCATGTAATATATTTTTAATGAAAAATGTGTAGGTAAAAAGAAGAGAGAAAAATTTATTTCGGAAAAAATGAGAATCAAACATCTCCTTAATTTGTTAAACTCAATGTATCAAATTGTTCCCCTCAAATCGCACTTTCATACTGCGCTGCTTTAAAGGAGTTTGCTTTCGAAAAAGACTAGTTGTAAGTCACCTATTATTATAAAACTATCGTCAAAGGATGAGTCCGAGGTCAAATGGAAGCATATATATACGGTGTGGTCGGATAAAGCTTAGAGCACTTACTCTGACCTTCAATGTCACCCTAAACTTTTCTTATGTACCTCTTTCGAATCGAGAATGTTAGCTAGAGTGATCGTTGGTTATCCTTTAAGTCATCGTGATAATACATAATGAATAGGGTTTGCTATTTGTACATCGGGGTTGAACATCGGTGTACGGACCCTCACAAAAGAGGAGAGTCAACGACCAATAAAAAATTCATGATCCCCCTATTGTGAAAGGGGCTGTACACCGGGTACATAAAGCAAAATCCCAATGAGTATTCCTCTAGTAATTAATTAATAAATAAGATTAATAATTACCATTACAGTGGAATTGAAATTGTTGTGGAATGGATATATTTTCAGGGTTTGATTGGAATTATTGGAGGTGTCATCCATTACGGAGAGTGGGACCAAAAACATTCCCCTGAAAATTTTGTCTCCCTTTGACTGCATCTAGCCTGTTTGGTCACCAGTCGCCCCTCGTTTAAGGGTGCACAAGCTCGTTTTTCATTTATTTTTCAAATATGTATTCAAACTTCCATTAGACCTTGTAGGATCGATCTGCACGAATTTTGAAAAGTTTGAATAATTTTCTGATAATATTGCTTTTGTCGAGTTGACGAATTGTTAAAAGAAATTGCCTTAAGGTAACATCCTCAAAAAACTCTTTTAAAAGAAGTAAAAGTAAATGCAGAATTCGTCGAACGGGTTCGTAATATCATGACAAATTTCAAGATGTCTGGTGATATGATCTAATGTGTAAAAAATGACATGCGAAGAATGTGTATAGATTTATTAAACTTTAGTGAAAATTCCTCAAAAATAATTACAAATATTAAGTCATCATGTAATCGAACAATTGACACAGGATATTCATAGCTAGTGACCGATTCACTAGAATGGTTGGAACTTATTTATTTCGTAAAATGTACATAATTTAAAACACTTACATTGGACCGTCTCGAACGCCCAACCCTAATTTGTATGCAACCATTTGGATTTGGTAGGTTGGTTCATGCTTTGAAGTCCTCTTTTTATTTTATTTTCAATATTTGAAAAGTAGCCATAAATAAAAATGAAAGATTTGGACTTGTGGATAGAATGAGCATGCCAAGAGATTAGATGCCATAATAGATGGCAAGTCAACCTATGATTATCAATAGTTTAGCTTAAATTATGTTTAGAGAGTGTTTGGTAGAGATTAAAATTAGATTTTTAGTAGATTTTGATATAAGTTTTTTGAAATGCGTGGTTGAAAAATTGTGAGACCCATGAAAGATGTTGTTAATATTGATTGTTTGACTTTGACTTAATTTAAAATCAGATTTTAATCCGGATCAAACATGGGCTTAAATTCACTCTTAATGATGTGAATGCAACACAAAAGTATGACCCAAAATCCATCTAATTTTTTCAATAATAGGTTTTGAAGAAGCATTTCCTCTTTTGCATGCTCAATAAACACAAAATAACACAATAAAATTAATTTAAAGAGAAAAAAAATTAATTTTTGAAGCTTGTTACAGACAGGTTGCATAGTATATTTTTATTTATTTATTTGACAATAATCAATTATTATCTTAAAGAAAATGTAATATGAGATGAAGTGATGCGAGAATTCTCTTGGAGGCATAATTTTAAAATGGCTTATCTCCCTAAAAACTTGAACTTTTGAATGAGTTGGCTCAACATGAATAAAACTGAAAGTACAGGATTCTTTGTCAGAGTAAAAACAGGGTGCTGACGTGGCGGCACTCTATTCTCGTCTGTTTGTCTGTCTTTTTTTCTTTCAATGAAAACGTTCCAAGTGTATTTTTTGTTAATTTTCTGTAGATTTTTCTGTAGTCATAGGCTAACTCGGCTCAACATAATCCAAATATTTAAGGATTATTACGTCTTTCGTCACCTATTTATGAAAATTATGCATTTGTCCATTTTCTTGAAAAAAAAATCTTGTTTATACATGAATAAACATGTTGAAGACACGTTAGCTATGGCCAGAAACTTGGGCTACCCTTAATTATTTGTGGAGTATGAATCATAAATGGAGAAATATTATCATGCTGAATCATTTCCTGGTATCACTGATGGGAGACCTAATTAGTTCTAAAAGGAAATTGACTTAAACCAATTCAAATGGAAGAAGACTCCACTTTGAAGTTTTGAAAAAGTAAAAGGAAATGAACAATCATTTTTCATGGAGGGTAACATCATCAATTTTAGCGGAACGGGTTGAGTTTCGTTTGAATATGGGCCGGGACCTAATGTTAAAAGATTGTTTACAAAACAACAAATAGAGGAAATTAAAGACGCGGATTTTTAAAATACCGTTTTCATAAATTTAAAATCAACTTTAATAACACATAAATCAGGTTTTAATTAATGATTTTTAAACTAATTTTTATTTAAATCAAATTTCAAACCCTAATTTTTCATTCACTCTCCTCTCCCTCTATCTCTCCAAAACCGACCCATTTTCTCTCCCCCATCTCTCTATCTCTGCCGCTACCACTCCGCCGGCACCACCACCACCTCATCGGCACAAGTAC